CCCCCCCCCCCCCCAGGTTTTTTTCTCTCTGCTAATGCAGAAGTAGCCCAGTGTGGGTCCGTGGAGGGAAAGGATGTGTACGCTGGGTTTGCTGCTCTGATTTTCAAGCAAACTCATCTGTCTTTCTGTGTAGAAACATGCAACACTTCTTTCACTGAAGCCAGCCACTGCCTACCTAAAAGACTGAAAGCAGTTCTTTACCACTTTTTAAGAATTCCTGGTGTTATTGGGGCTCCCACTTCACGCGCTCCCTGATACACTCCCCTCTGAAGCCACAGTTCCAAGCCACAGCTGGAGGACAGTTTCCTAGTCCCTAAAATCAGTGGGAGCTTTCCCTGGCCTGGCATCACTGCCAGCTAGGCTGACACAAGAGGAGCCCTGGCAGCGCCGCTCCCCTAGGTTTGGGGAGGGCAGGCAGGCCTGAGGGGTACAAGAACAGCTTTCTATCCCCTCAGAGATCTGATTGCTGGGTAGGACTTACTTACCTTCTGCCTTCCCACACAGAGCTTGTTGAGATGAGGACTGTTACAATAGGAACATACCTCTTCAAAGTTATTCAAAGCAGCCTGTTTACAGGCAGAGCTGGCTAAGGAACAAGGCTTGCAAAAGCACTGTGTAGGTGAGGTGCTAATTTTTATTCAGATTCCTTAATGGGAGCCTATTTCTGAGGCCTCCTCAGGCTCTTCCTTGCCTTGACCTGGGCAGTCTTTTGGGAGGGTCTCTCTGCTGCTAGGGCTATTTGCAGCTGAGTGAGGTGGGAAAGCAGAAGTCAGAATAAGAGACTAAAACTGACTTCAGGCGATAAGGAATTCACTTCAAATTGAGCTTAACTGCAGGTTTATTTTAGCTCTCAGGAACTATATTCTTGCTGATTTTAGTTCTGGAAGGAGGTAGTTACTGCCTGGAGTCAGGTGCTGTAGGCTGGAGGACATCATAACTCATGTGAAAGCACTCTTTGTTAGGCCGGGAGCTCCTTCAGACCAGGACTTGGAAGGCTTTCTTTAAGGACTTTTTTTAGAGATTCTCAATGGTCTTTACCTGGTGACAAGCTGTCCTAAGGGAAAGGGAAAGGAGTAAGGAGTGATCTAAGGGATGCGCAAATCTGCTGATTCGAATAGCTGTGCAGGAGTCTCAGTTGCTGATTTCTGTGCTGATTCCATGGGAGCTAAACCTCTGTTTCTCAAATATCTGTCTCCACTTCTCTTAATGTATGCTCTTCTGTGTCTCTTCTTTAAGGAAGGACACTTGCATTCTGCTGCTTAGCCATGTTTTCAGTTTTAGCCTTTTTCTTAATATTTGCAAAAACAAATAGGGCATTGCTCCACCTCTGTGACACACAGTAGCATCTTTCCTGCTGTTGTAGCTCAGAAGGGATGAATATCATTTTCCTTAGGCTGGGAGGTGGCAGGTTGCAGAGAACACAAAGCCTAATGTATTTTAATGGTAATAAAAGGAGCCAAAGATTGCAGTTCTCTCTTCTGTCGGTTTGCTTCCACACTGGTCAATGAGAATCCTGCTTCTGAGTTCAAGATGAGACTTGGGTTCTGTCTCCATGTCCCCAGATAGCCCAGCCAGACCTCCATGATGATCTAGGCTTCATTATGTCATATTGTATATAAACATAGAGTAAGCCATAAATCTGAAGTACTTAAATCCTTGTAATACCAAGAAAGTAAATACAGCCTGCAGCTTTGCAAATGAGGGAGTCACTTCGTGAAAAAGCGGGCCGTAGAATGTAAAACTTGAGATCCAGAAGGGTCCAGGAACTGCACTGCTGGTGGCCAAGACTAGATAAGGAATTACAGAATATCTGAACCATTGAAGGATCAACAGATTGACAGATAGATAAATATGCATATATCTACATTAGGGCTGGTTCTTCTAATTAGAGTGAATTCTTCCAGGAGCCAGTTGTGGAATAAAAGCAGAGCAGTGGCCAACCACAGACACACACTCAGTATGAGAATATTTTGCCACCTTTCTTCCATCTGGAGCTAGGAAGTAGATGTGAGGAAACAGGATGCTCCTCCCAGCAGGCCTCTAAGTTTTTGAAAGGAATTGTGAAAGGCCGAATTAAAGAAAGAGGAAAGAAGCACCCACTTTTGCCTGCCATTAACCCCTTTAGGCTGCTTTGAAAATAATTTGGTAGTATTTCTGCCTGGTACTGATTCATTCTCACATCAGGAACCACTCCACTTCAGAAGGGGAGTATGACGGAGTCTCTGTTAAGCCTGCGAGCAGATCCATTTAATGGACTGGGAGCAGTTACACACTCTTGTGTTTCTATGCTATAAATCCTTGAAACCTGTTCCATTGGTGACAGATGGCCTGGTTCGGGATTAATGAAACCAAATATCTGTGCCACTGCATCAAACAGCTGACCAACCAGAGAAAAATGTCGCTACTACCCTACTTTTTCCTCCTGGAAATTTTGCTGGGGCCGGGGGGAAGAGAGACTTGGCCCTTTGTCTAGGATTTCTGGGCAGCGAGCAGCCTTCCCAGAGCAATCCTTTGCAGCAAGCTGCCTTCTCCCTGGAAATGTGGACAAATGGCCATTGTATGTGGGACTGGCTGTAGCAGCAAGGGGCGAGCGTGCTTCAGGGTTCCGCATCCCAAGGCACCCGGGACGTGTTGTAACACAAGCCAGGTGCCATCGTCGCGGTGGTGCCTGGTCGGTTTGTGCTGGATGTGCTCTGTGGGGTGCATGTGGCTGTGTTTCAGGGTTCCCCAGACAGGAATACTGTAGCCAGCTGTGACAGTGTTAGTGGGCTTCAGTGGGGTGCTGGGTAGCTCCAGGGCAGAGCCACACGACTGACAGGCGTAACAGTAGCAAAAAATGCCTGCCACGGAGGTTCAGCTGGCTACATACTCCATGCTGAAACTGTCACAGAAACAGAAAATGAGCAAGGAGACATTGTATCTGCACAGTAGAAATACCCAGTAAATTAATATTTTTAATTGCTGTTACACACAGAAGAAATGAGAAAAAAAAAATACATTCCAAACAAAGAATTAAAATAGTAAAATCAGCATAAAAATGTGTTAAGAAAAGATCCCAGATCAAGTGGCTGTACTGCATGTGGTGACCTTTACAATCATGGTAAAGGAAGTAAGTGCTAGAGCCTTTCAGACGTGGCAAAATGCTGGACTCCCGGGGGGAGAGCAGCTGCTTCCGTCACATCTTTCAGTGCACTCCGCCTGGAATGCGTGGGAGAGGGGCTGGAGCGAGAGGCTCGCACGGGTACAAGACAGGGGGATTAGTGCTGAGGACAGATCTGCCAGTCTGCAGCCTCAGCCAGGCAGAACTACCGCTTACCCAATAGCATTTGCTTTTTCCTTGGTTTGGTTTGGTTTTGTTTTGTCTTCTAGTTTTTGGAGTTTTATTTAACAAAGTGTCAGGTTCTGCTGGCCTGACCCTGCCAGCACTGTAGGCTTGTAGCAAGCCTCCCCAGGTGAATTGGGAGCAAGGCCTGGTCCAGCAGGAGCCTGCACAAGCAAGGTCTAGATACGTGTGTTCGTACTGATTCAGCACCATCGCCCAACGGGCTGGCTTTGGTTTCTTCCTTTTTATCTGTCAGGAAAAGGTTTCTTTTCTTTCCTGATGCTCTCTCTGTCTTTTGACTGATCCAAATTGGCCCAGTCGTGCTCCCACTGCAGTCTCGGTGGCTCAGCCCCTGCATCCCTCTTACATGAGACTGGCCTTGTGCTTCAGCCTCACCGTTGAGCTGTCACACCGCTCCAGTAGCTCATCCTACAGCAGCGTAATGTCACC